TATATATATTTTAAACACGGAAATATATACGCGTGCTTAGAGAGGACTAGTTAGCACAGAACCTCCTCGGACGGAGAGCCAGAGCCCACTGATGGGATTAGCGATGTATATGGCCGGCCGTTATCAATAACTAACCTGAGGTCTATTTACACTGTTCACTATTGAGCTGCAAATAAGTGATTACTCAACTTATTCTTTTGTTCAGTAACAAACTTAATTGTTAATATAACAGGTAACACTATTGTTTCGCATTGAAGTTTAACACTGCCACTATTAATTAAGAATTTTATAAGAGACTACCTGACGTATGTTTAACTAAGGTTAATGCATGCGCAGAACTCTAACCTATTAATATTGAGTAATTGTCAAAAATGAGTTTTTTCTCTTGCATTTATAAATAATTATAATTTAATGTAATTCTAATAAGGTTTTATATATATATATAGATAGATAAATATAGATATACATATATGAAAGGAAAAAAAAAATACCTTATTAGTAATAGTTTTGTATATATACATACATATATTCATATTAACATATATCTCAAACTAATTTATTAAAAAGATATCAAATGTCAAAGACTTTTTACTTACTATTCCAATTTATTTATTATTATTACAATTTATTTATTATTATTGCAACATTTAGAGTAAATGTTCAAAGAGGCTTCCATTTTATTGAATGCAACATTCAGTACAACGAATCAATACTTCTCTTCATTGATTCGGATTGATTCATTTTAATTTTGTTCTATTTTGTTATTCCCAAGGGACTGTGTCCCAGAATAAAGTTATTTTTCTATCTGTCTATTCATTGATTAATTGCTGGCTCTACGTGTAGCATCAGGATGGTACTTGATAGCTACTGAGACTTATAAATGAGTTTATGATATACGTTAATATGAACATTTTTGTTTATTTTGTGCTAGTGAACAGATACCTAAAATAGTGCCGTACAACTACGAAGCACAGGGTGCTTCGTAATTGTACGGCACTATTTTAGGTATGTGATGTCCATGGATTAAGACTGCTAGGAGTCAGCAGGCTCACGAGGACCTATATTTCTATCCCCGAAACAGACCTCCATGGACCGAACCTCAGGGGGGCTACAAACATCCTGATAACCACATCCCGATTCCCGATTAAGTACATGGGGTAGGGTCATCAGTCCTACGCCCGGTCTGTGTGAGTTGCCTCCAGTAGACTGACGGGTCTCACATACCCGAGGGGGGGGGAGAGACTCGGGCAATTTGGCTTTCTCTGGTGGCCGATCACCCAAATCGGGCGGTCACCCATCCAAGTACTAACCACGCTCGACGTTGCTTAACTTTGATTATCTATTGCAAGCGCCTTAGCCCGTACGGCTACCCCAGCCCCATATATATATATATATATATATATATATATATATATATATATATATATAAAATAAAGTTTATTCTGCGACGATATCCCCTTAGAATAACAATAATGTACAGTTACAAAAGAAAAATAATACACATCTGACCAAAAACTAACTCACTAAATATTCAAACAATATATACAACAACTTAAATAATAGTATGTAAATTACTAAAAAATAAATAAATCTTCTCAACTATATTTTTAATTTTACTAGAAAAAATAACAAAAAGAAAAGAAAAAAAAAGAACAAAAAAAGAACAAAGAAGTACATGTATAGAAAGAAAAAGGAATAGAAAGATATATATGTATACAAATTGAGGAATGTAAGAAATGAAATACATCTAAAATATAAACAATCTTGTAGATATAAAAAAGTAAAATGGATAAAAATAACAAACAATCTCTTACTTTTTATGCATCACTTCAGAGTGCTATACCAAAAGCGATACAGAACTTTCCAGTTCACAAATAATAAACAAAAAATAAAATAAAATAGTGGTGTATGAAAAAAAAAATATCCTTGTTGCATGATACATAATTAACCAGCGTCTGATTGGGTTGTGAAGAAGAGGGTTTTGAATGTGGATAAGGATGGTGCATGGCGGATTTTAAGTGGGATTGAATTCCAAAAGGTGGAGGAGCGGACAATAAAGGAATGTTGAAATGAAGCATATCTATGGAAAGAGGTGTAAAGGTCAGAAGACCAAGATCTTGTAGAGAGGGAGTGGACAGATGATTTAAATTGGAGGAGATTGTATACATAGGACGGGCGAGGGTTGTTGATTATTTGATAAAGGAATGGTTATTGGTGATGGGATGGTTATTTAGATACAGAATAGGAATGTTGCTATTGGATTTGAGGAGGGATTTGGAACCAATGACAAAAGACTGCGTTTTATCTTAATCCATTGATGTATGGCCAGTCGCTGACCCAATTTAGATCTTCGTGGATTTTGGCAAACGCATCATACAACTCTGAGGGAGGGGAGGAAAGGCAACTATGGGAATCATCGGCATAGAGGTGATAGAACAGCGGAGGATTGATTTATGGAGGTCGTTGATAAAGGAACTAAAAAGAAGAGGAGATATACTAGCGCACTGGCCACTCCTGAGGATAGAGTAAGATAGGGAGAGAAGAGTTGATTAGGAATAGCGACAGCATGGGAACGTTGAGAGAGAAAAGACTGAGGAAACCAAAGAGTAGCGCTGTTGGAAAATGATAATGATTTTAATTTGGAGAAGAGGATGGTATCAAAGGCTATGGAAAAGTCTATGAGTACAAAGACAGTTAGTTTTTTCTCATCTATAGCGAACTGAATATCACTAATGATTTTAATTATGGCTGATTGTGTGGAGTAACCTGGACGAAAACCAGATTGGAAAGGATCGAGTTGATTGGAATGTTCAAGGAAATTGGAAACTTGGGATTGCACTGTTCTTTCAAGGGGTTTTGAAAGGTTGGAAAGGATTGAAATTGGACGGAAATCTTTGTGAGAAGAAGGGTTAGGATTTTTGTTTAAAGGACTAACGGTGGCTTGCTTCCATGAGGTAGGAAATACTGAGTTTTGAAGGGAGAATTTATGTACGAATAGGAGAACAGGAAGGATTTTGGGAAGGCATAGTTTGATTAATTTGGCCGGAATGCCATCTGAACCAATAGAATTGGAATGTGATTTCATCGGTGGATGTGATGTCTGCGGGCAAGATGTATGAAGTAAAACTCTTCGACATAGAAGGATGTACCGGGAGTAGAGAAGGAAGCATTAAAAGGAGGAGTGGAAGAGGAAGTAGTTATAAAATATGAGTTTAAATCATCTGGTGAAATTGGAAATACTGCTGAGGGAGAGGATCTGGAAAATTCACAAAGGGTGAGTTTACGAAGGAGTAGCCATTTGGATTTGGAATCGGGAGCTGATGAAGGGGCTTCATGGAAATAGATCGATTTTGCTAGTTGGATTGTGGTTTGTGTCAGATTGAGGAGCATCCTAAATGCTTGTTAGTCGTCTGCCAACATAGTACGTCTAAACGTCTACTGGCAGCATCACGACTCTTCTGGATATCCTTAATTTGCTGACACATCCAGGGAGTGGGACGGCAAGGAAAGGTAGAGGTTTTGAGAGGAGCATGGATTCAAGGATATTAAGAAGATTGGAGATGAGGATATCCACCATGGCATCAATTGTGGAACAGGAATATTATCTACTCCAATCTATGGTTTCCAGGCAGGATAAGATTTTTCTCGAGTTAGGTTATCAAGGTTACGGAATTTTATTGTTCTAGGAAGGACTGGAGGAGTTTGGGTATTGTATGTTATTTGGATCAGATCATGCGACGATAGGAAGGAGACTAGTAATTAGGAAGAGGAAAGCAGGCTCTGAGCAGAGTCAATAATATACAGGCCTAACCAAGTGTCGGATCTACCGGTGTGATGAGTGGCAGAAAAAGGAACGATAAATAGGTGAAGAGAGGAAAAAATGTTTTCGAGATATGATTCGTCGCTGGAGTCGGAAAGGAGATTAGTGTTTAAGTCACCGGAAATGATAATTTTGGAATAGAGATTAACAATGTTGAATAGGGATGATTTGAAGGATGGATCAAATGGAACAAGAGGTGGACGATATACTACGATATAGAGGAGAGAATTCGCTCAGAGACTGGTTTTCTAGAACCTTAGTTTTTAATATTTATGTATATGCATCTCTAATACTTAGTTCCCTTAAGTGTAGTAAAATATACTATACCTCAATAAAAAGATATAAAATAAAAAATGTTTCAAATCTTCTGGGAAAGCCCTGAGAATTGGTGAACAAAAACTACACTTTTGAAACAAGAGATCCGGTTCTGTAAAATCATACTTCTGAGAGCCTAAGACGTCGCATTGGAAATTTTAGGAATAATAGTAGATGAAAACAGTGTTGATAATATATATATATATATATATATATATATATATATTATATATATATATATATATATATATATACATATATATATATATATATGTGTGTGTGTGTGTGTGTGTGTGTGTTAAAAACCAAGATTCTAGGAAAGCGGTCTCTGAGGGAGAACATGAAAAAATAAGCCCTTAGGTTAGAGCCTGTGTAACATTTAGAATTTCGCTGAATACTATAGAGCAGAGGGTTTGAAAGTCGGTATGTAACTACAGTACCAGATAGAGATGTTGATAGAATACTAATGAAGATCAGTACTTATATGCAAAGTACTATCATGGATATACTCGTATAAGCACATTTCATAATATCCATGTTAGTTCTTTTCATGTAATTGTAGTAATTATCCATTAAATGTAATCAGCTTTCGTTTTCAAAATATTTAATAAACAAAAGTAAATTTCCAGATATGCATAGAGTGAAATTTTGGAGTCTGATTTTAGATTTTTCCTCTCTTACTTTTACACAGTCACAATTATTATATCTATATTGCATTTGAGCTTGTTGTGCTAATTTGGCATATAACTGCATAGAAATATATATATAATAAAAGTATCATTTAAATTTTAAATTTATGTATTCAATTCACTGATCAGATCGGTTCATTATTTTAAATTTATCGCAATGAAGTATTGTTACTAACCTTGATCAGACATTCCATCATAAATTTCTGTGGAAGAGATCGCCAGACTTTGTATTTTGGGCTTTTTTGTAAAATTTTGTGGATTAAGGAACCACCTCCTTCCTAATAGCGACCATACTGATCTGTTACGGCTCACATTACCTGAAATGGATTAGTTTGTTATCAAATGTTGATTTGTTATCAGTCATATATTTTTCTTAACTAGAAACATTGAAAAGTGAGAATAATAAACTGAGAATTAGATTTTGCATTTACACATAGACTTAAAATGGATATAATAATAATTGATTATTAAGAATGCCCACGGAGTATTTAACGCATAGATTATACTAAATATATAGGTTTATTTGAATCCCAATGATTATTTTTTTTTTAATGTTTTATTTTATAAATTATAAGTGAAGATTATACTTTGGAGAAAGTCAATAGAAATCGAACTACTTACTTATCACGTCTTTAATGGAAACATCTGTGGCCAGTTTCATGCACTTTTTCTTAGACCAATTTTTCGAACTATTCGTTTCATTCATATTTTTTTTCAAATAATGCATCTCATTATTTACGCTCATGTTAGAATAAGAGCTCACCACTAAAAAAAAATAATTGTTTTTTAATAAACGAGTCTGTATAATAGAATATAGCTGTGGATTAAAATGTGTTATAACATTGTAATTTTTACATTAACCAGTATTTCGTTCATACCTCTCCAAATCTCCAAACCTAGTATATTTTTTTCTATCTGCTGCGTTTTTATAGCCGATAAATCTTCAAGATTTCCGCTTTTTAGATAAATCTTCGAATTAATCATAAAACAAGTGTGATCATTCATTCTAACTTTTTTGCTTCAAATTTGTCACTTTTGATATCTTTTGTATTTTATAACGCAATAAACTTTTAATAGGCATTAAAAATATAAGAACACAGTCCCTAGCATTAGATACCAACTCCCCTCCTTAATGCATTCGAAGTATGGATGAAGTTGTGGGAATATGTTTGTTTCTTTAAATAATATAATGCCATCAGGAAACTATCTCTCCATCTCTCACTCTCTCACTCTGTTTCTCTCTCTCTCTCTCTCTCTCTCTCTCTCTCTATATATATATATATATATATATATATATATATATATATATATATATATATATATATATATATATATATATATATATATTGAAACTGTAACTGACACAATTCTTAGCATCGGAGCGGGTCTGGGCGTCAAGCTGAGTCCGGAAGATCTTGATCACGCCGTAAGACTTAAGCCCAAGCAGGAAGGTACACCAGGCCCAATTATTGCAAGATTTGTTAGACAGACGGTGAAAGATGAGTTAGTGCGGCAGCGAAGAACTAAGAGAGATTTCTCCACACGACATCTAGGCTGGAGTGAGAATGACTCGCACCGCGTATATGTAAGTGAAGCCATGACGCCCACCAACAAGCACCTCTATTGGTTAGCCAGGCAGAAGAAATTAACTGCTAAAATAAAATATGTTTGGTTCAGTGGAGGAAAAATTCGCTGCAGAGAGTCAGATGGATACCCACCGGTGATAACAGGAAAACCGAGTGACCTTGACGTATTCAGCTGAACGTTGCTCACAAGTTACTCTGAGTTTGCATTTGATTTATTTTTTTTCGCCAGAAATAATTTTACTTTATTTTTTTTTATCTTCAGGTTTTTTTTTACTTTAATATAAATGTAGCTTTTTTTATTTTTTTTTTTATTTTTATTTTTTATTTATATTGACTTATTGTCTATTGTATATACTTTTGATTATTATTTTGTTCTATTTATTTTATTTTTTTGTACATATGGTGTGAATGTCATCCTACCTCACTATAACCAATGTCCAACAGACAGATTGTTATAATACTCAATAAAGAAATTTAAAAAATAAAAAAAAATTTATATTGAAGCTTTTTTTATTTTTTATACATTTATTTTCGCCAGAAATATTTTTACTTTATTTTTTTTTATCTTCAGGTTTTTTTACTTTAATATAAATGTAGCTTTTTTTATTTTTTTATTTATATTGAAGCTTTTTTTATTTTTTTATACATTTATTTTCGCCAGAAATATGTTTACTTTATTTTTTTTATCTTCAGGTTTTTTTATTTTTATAGAAATGTATCTTTTTTAATTTTTTTATTTTTATCGAAGCTTTTTTTATTTTTGTATACTTTTATTCTCGACAGAAATAATTTGATTTTAATCTTTTTTACTTTTAGCACTCTTTATTCTTGTATAAATTATTTACAACTTTATTTGATTATTTACCAAAATGTATCAATGTATTTAAAACAAGGGGATATTTATATTTTACAGACAGGGGAATTTATATGCTATAAATTATATTTAACAAAATATTTATTTCGAAATATTGGAAATTCATTACTTTCATCTCAACTTTTATTTTATGTATGCAATTTTTTAATATTTTTTATTATTATTTTTAAACGGAGTATTTGTTTAAAAAAAATGTTATATCCTATCCTTTATCTTCGATCCTTTTCACCAAACCTCTGCTTCCCAACTCTAATATAATGACTAATATTCTGAATTCCTGTCACATCAACGCCCAATCCCTTATTGCACACTACGATGAATTCCAGAAATATTTCCTTGACAATTTTTACAATATAATAGCAATATCTGAAACCTGGCTAAAACCTTTTATCCCATCCTCCCAGATTTCCTTACCAGATTACTCGTTCCTACGTCACGATAGATCGCATCGCACGGGAGGTGGCGTCGGATTATATATCCATGACAGCCTTAAGGCCAAAATCCTTCTACAGTCTCCTTATCATGATTTTCCTCACATAGAATACATGTTCGTTAAAATCACCTCGCTTTCCTCTCCTCTGTTGTATGCCGTAATTTACCGCCCTCCTCGTGTTCCATTTGACAACCTCTTTGAATCTTCCCTCATTAACCTGGTCTCCAACTACACCAATATTATTATTACCGGTGATTTTAACGTGAACATGCTTTCACAATCTTCCGAAAAATTTTTCCTTACCGACCTGTTGTTTTCCCTTAATCTTCATCTTGTTCCTTATTCTCCTACCCACCACACGCAATTTTCCGATACTTGGTTAGATCTTTATATCTCCTACTCCCCCGTCAAAATCCTTTCTTCTTCTCAACACCCAGTTCCATTTCTTTCATCACATGACCTGATCCAAATTACATACGACCTACCCGTAAAATCCTTCACTCCCAAAATAGTTTCATACCGCAATTTAAACTTTCTTTCCTATGAATCCCTTCAACCAGACCTTAATTCTCAGCAATGGGACACCATATATTCCTACAACTCCATTAATCCTATGGTATCCACCCTGACCTCAAACCTACAATCTATATTAGAAATCCACGCTCCTCTGAAAACCAAAACCTTACGCCGTCCCACTGCGCCTTGGCTGACCCGTGAGATAAAGGAAATGATGAGGGGAAGAGATGCAGCAAGGCGCAAATACCGTCGAACCCGTCTAGCTGTGGATTATGTGTCTTTCAAGGCGCTTCGCAATGGGACCCAATCCGCAGTCCGTCTTGCCAAAACCACCTACTTCAATAATGCCCTGTCCAATGCTCCCGACCCCAAACCTAAATGGAAAATACTCCGCAACCTATCCCTACCAGAGTCCATTAATCGTAGTTCCTTCGATCTTTCTCCAGATGATCTCAATAACCATTTCTTATCCTTTACTCACTCTTCCTCTCATACTTTCGACATTAAACATCACAAATTCAATCCTGAAGACTTCTTTTTCCTCCACGTGTCCTATGATGAATTACTTTCCACCATCCTAAAATCCCACACCAATGATTATGGTCCCGACAATATTCCTGTAAAACTAATAAAATCCACCCTTCCTGATCTTATTCCTGTTCTTTATCATATCTACAATTTTTCACTGCAGAACTCCATATTCCCACCTCCTGGAAAACCGCCCTAGTCCAAAATTTGAATAAAATTGCCAATCCTACCTCACTGCACGACTTCCGTCCTATTTCTCTCCTATCCAACCTCTCAAAGCCGCTAGAACGCCTTGTCCAAAATCAGCTCTCAAACTTCCTAGAGGAACGTTCCTTTATCAACCCATGCCAATCTGGCTTCCGACCCGGCTATTCAACGCAATCTGCTCTCCTTAAAATAATCCATGACCTACAAAACTCCATTGAACACCAAAACCTTACTATCCTCATCCTTCTAGATTTTTCCAAAGCGTTTGATACAGTTGACCATAACATCCTACTTACCAAATTGCAAAACCTTCCTCTATCCAACAGTGTCCTGCATTGGTTCAAATCCTTCCTTTCCAATCGATCTTAGTATGTAGTAGTCCCTGATCAACCTTCTTCAAACACACTTCCCCTCTCCTGTGGTGTCCCTCAGGGATCCTCTCTCTCTCCTACTCTGTTTGCTATTTACATCAATGATCTCCCCCTCCAGATCCGTCACTCCCGATACCACATCTATGCAGATGATTTCCAAATATACCTTTCCTTTCCGTCCTCCGACCTATTATCTGCCACAGAAAAACTTCAAGAAGACTTAGATGGAATTTGTGACTGGGCAAGAACAAAAAAGCTGAAGTTGAATGCGGATAAGACAAAGGCAATCTTAATAGGCTCCAATCACCTCCTTAAAACTGTCCCTACTATTCCAACTCTGTTCCTACATAATAACCCCATCAAATTTCACCCCACCATCAAAAATCTTGGAATAACCATTGATCAAACGCTTTCTTGGAAAAATCATATATCCAATATTTCCCGCCGTACCATTTCCATCCTAAAACGTCTTAACTACTCCCGTCACCTATTTCCTTTTGAAACCCGTAGGCTCCTAGTCACTTCCTTAATTTTTCCCCACCTTGACTATTGCTATACGGTATATGGGGGCCTCTCTGGGGATCTCGAGGCGAAACTAAAACGTTTGATAAATTGCTTTGTACGATTCATCTTCGGGATCCCAAGGGACGCCTCTGTTTCCCATCTTTACGCGGAGTTAAATTGGCTTTATCCTTCCTACCGTCGTAAGTATTTCCTGGCATGCTTCCTCTTTCAAGTCATCCAATCCCACCGTCCCTCATACATCTCCGAGCTCCTTCAATTCAAATCCTCTATTCGTTCCCGCAATACTCGTTCCCGTTCTTCTGATTTATACATAAGGGCCCACCGAACCGCTGCTTTCGACAAATCGTTCATTATCCGATCCTCATCTCTATGGAACTCCATCCCTTCCCATATCCGTCAATCTAATACCCTTCCTACCTTTAAATCCCGCCTGTTCAATCATTTCTTATCCATCCAGTCCCCATAAAATCGTAAATAGATACTACTGAAAATATGTACATAAGTTATTAGTTCGTTCTTCATTATTTGTTCTCCAATTTTTGTTTATCTATTTTTTTTTTCTCTTTTATTATCAACTGATAAAAATTGGAAAGCAACTTATATGTATATGTGTATATATATATATATATATATATATATATATATATATATATATATATATATATATATATATATATATATATATATATATATATATTATTATTTTTTTAACCAAGACTGTTCAATTACTCTGTATTTTTATTTATATATCTCTGAGGCTCCTTAGCCCTCATTTCTGTCTTCCTGTATTATTCTAAAGGGACTCGTCCCAGAATAAATAAAGTATTATTATTTTCTCTTTATTTTTCACATATACAATGGTGTTTATATTATGTAATAGTTGGGGACCTATTAGGTCAGCCAAAAATTACATTTGTATATTTTCTTAATTATTTTATATTTCTGAACTTTCTGACAATATTTGCTGTTCCCAACAACACCGCTTGTTGCATTCTTTCGATCGTCTGAGATGGTAGTTCTAGTAGTCGCAGAGAAGATACAGTTTCTTCCGGTATCAGTCCGTTGCACGAGATTACAATTGGCAGAATTCGGGTTTCCTTCAAATGATATAATTGTTTGATCTCTTCAGCCAATTCTACGTACTTTCTCTTTTTTTCCGCTACTACCTTGTGCAGGTTATCATCAGAAGGAACTCCAATCTCTATGATAAACGCAGATTGCTTACCTTTATCTATTATAAGAATGTCTGGTCTATTGTGGGGGATGGTGTGATCCGTCAGGATCGGTTGATCCCAGAACACCTTGACATTGCGCATGGAGTTAATTGGTTCTGGATGGTATTTATAATACGGACAATACTTATCGACGAGTTCCATTTTCTGAGCCATAGCTTGATGCACTACCTTAGCTGCATTGTTGTGTCTCTGCAAGTATTCCTTACCCGCAAGTATTGTGCATCCCGATGTTACATGTTGAATTGATTCAACTGCCTTTTTGCATAAGCGACATAAGTCATCGATGGCCTCTCCACATATATGTTTTCTGTATGCTTTTGTGGCTATTACCTGTTCTTGAATAGCAAACAAGAATCCTTCTGTTTCCGGAAAGATACTTCCACTCTTCAGCCATGTCAATGACGCCTCAGCGTCCACTCCTACATCCATTAATGAGTGATAAAATCGTCCGTGTAAAGGTTTATTTTTCCATATTTCTGATCGAGTGCCATCATCTGCTTCACTAATCGGGATTCCAGGGCTTCGTAAATTCAAAGCTGTATAATTTATATCTAATGATGCGATAGTTGAAAGGATATTGGAAGTATGGTTTATAATGTAGTTGAGAAGATTATTTTCTTCCTTTCGGCATAAATTCAAGAGGCTGACTAGACCACGCCCTCCCGATTTCCTAGGAAGATACAATCTCACTACAGATGACTTTGGATGCCTCTTCCTTGAAAGCACCATCTGTACTCTAAGAAAACGATCCAACCTTTCTAAATCGGTTTTAGTCCACTTCAGTACCCCAAATGAGTAGGCTAAAGCAGGTATTGCCCAGGTATTCAATGCCCGTATCAAATTTCTTCCACTTAAATGTGATTTAAGTACTAATTTAACACGGTATTTAAATTCTTCCTCAAAGTTTTTCTTTGAATTAGCATTGAATTTCAGAAGTTGGTGTACTCCAAGGTACTTGTAAGAATCAGATTCTCTCAATTGATTCATTATTACATTTTCCGATATCTCAATATTACTCCCCTTAATAACTCTTCCTCTTTTCACGTGTACTATTGCACATTTATCTATTCCTAGATCCATTTTTATATCATTACTGAACGTTCTTACTGTCTTCAGAAGAGCTTCCATTTCGTCTTCATTCCTAGCGTAAAGCTTGAGGTCATCCATATAGAATGAATGAGAAAGCTTCATTTCAGAGTTAAGTGGGTACCCTTTATCTGTATCAGCCAATAATTTGCTAAGTGGATTAAGCGCCAAACAAAACCATAGAGGACTAAGGGAGTCCCCTTGAAAAATACCTCTCTTTATAGATATGTATTCATTGGAACTCATTCCATTCAAAGTTGGTGTGCTGATTGAGACCCTCCAAATTTTCATCAGTCGTTCTAATAGATCTATTATTGCCTGGTTTACTTTATAGATTTTCAACACTTCCAGAAGCCAATCATGGGGAACCGAATCGAAGGCTTTACGGTAGTCGATCCAAGACAATGTAATATTACGAGATTTTTTTGTAACTTGAGCAGCAATAAAAGAATCGATAATCAGAAGTTCTTTGCAACCTTTTGAACCTGCCTTAATACCTAACTGTTCCGCTGCCATAATACCCTTTTCCTCAATGTAATCTGTCAACTTATTCCTGATTACAGCCGTTAGTAATTTGTACACACCATTAAGACAAGTTATGGGTCTCAAATCCTGTGGCTCCAGCCTGTTTTTGCTTCCTTTCTTTATTAAGTGAGTCGTACCGGTACAGAACTTCACTGGTAAGTCAATCTCTTCAGACAATAGTTTCTGATACCACACAGCTAGGTGGCTATGAACACTGCTAAAGGACTTTAGCCAGTAATTTTGTATTTTATCTGGACCAGAAGCTTTCCAGTTTTTCATTTGCTTGAGTGCCTTAGTCACATCTTCCACAGTGATACTGGTTGCTTCCATAGGTTGGAGATCTGATAAGCTATGGCGAATATTTTCCAACCAATTTGCTTCATTGTTAAAACATTTTTTACTTTCCCAAATACCTTTCCAATACTCTGATATTTCAATAGGATCTGGATAGACATCGTTATTATTTTCCTTTTTAGGTTTTAAAGATTTATAAAAATATTGTTCTCTTTTATTAAATATTGAATTTTGTCTCCTTCGATCATGAGCTTCTGTATACCTCCTAATTCTATTTGCTAACACTGCTAATTTCTGCTTGAGCGTTTCCATATAAACACCAACTTTTTTATTTAACTCACTTCTTACTACTCCTCCAATATTTAATACAATAATTTCATCAATTTTTTTCTTTAGTTTTAAAGAAGCATTTTCTGGGTTCCGAAGGTAATTAGTAATAATTCCGATTTTACACCTTATATTTTCGATCTTTTTTTTAATTCTTCTCTTCCAAGGAGGATCTTTGCAATCATTAGTTTTATTACAATTCACCTTATCTTTTATCAAACCTAGCTCCATCGAGACAGTTCGGGCCCCTACGTATATCCAATGACATATCTCTTCTAGAGTTATACCCATCGACATATGCTCAGCAAGTATCTCGTTGACGGTGTTGACAGCGAATAAAGTTCTTTTGGAATATGGTACCTTTGGTATAGAGGGTCTACTGTCCAAAGGTATTCCTTCATACATTATGTGTTCTCTTAATAGCATATTACGCATCTCTATAATGTGTGACGCTTTTTGGGTATTCACAGAAGTCGTTTCCAATTGCATAATCGCCGAGGATTCTGCCTCTTCTACTTGTTGTATTTCTATCTGTGAGTTTCGGGCAAGTATATTACCTGCTTCTGTTCTGATTGCATTAATTTCCGATTCGGATAAAAACTGGCGTTCTAATATTTGCTTGACCTGGTCAGCGAGTCTTTGAGATGATACAGCTATTTGCGGATATTTTTCATTCCAGTGACGATTGATTCTTTTGCGATATCCTGTTTTTTCTTTCTCTAAGTTTGTAGCCAATAAGTAAGCTCGGATAGCAGCAATATTCATATTGCGGTCCCACTTCATCCTTCGTTGCCTACCTATTTGGCCAATGATTCCTCTTCCTCGCGCGGGAGACTCAACGGTATCCAAGCACGGTTCAGAGTTTAATGATGAAAGTCCTATGGCAGCCGGTCTTACGGGAACATACGACACCGAGGCACCGCTCGCACCACCTGCAGATGTCGAAGGCTGAATATCCAATCCCTCCGAAGCAGCCCTTACTTCGGATTCGTCCGAGGCTAATTTGTTTCCTAGTTCGCACCATTTTGATGGGTAGATGCATTTTATACCTGCTGCCAGGTCATCCTAGGGGAGGTAGCCCTAGGGTGTGTACTGTCTGTGTCCTTAGGGTCAGTGTAAATGATTTAGTGGACGGTTGTGTGTGTATCTGTAGGTGGTGTACTGTACTCAAGAAACCGGGGGATCGTAAAACCCCTGCAACTGCACCTATCAGTTGCCCCTTGCGGCAGTATTATTATTATTATTATTTTATTTGTCAACACTTCTACAAAAGGTTTTTTTTTGTTTACTTGAGAGGGGGAGAATCAACTCCAACCACCTCAGGTATGTTCAATTTTAATTACTATTGAATGTTGAGAAAGCTTCTTACAATTCTGGCAGTATTCAGCAGCACCCCTTTCTGAGCTTCCTTTATTACATGAGTTGGGAGGCCCAGCCTGTCAGTAGCTTCCACAGTAGACACCGGTACCAGGCCATTGCTGGAGATCACGATGCCCCTAACGGTTACTTTATTAAGTTTATACAAACTTTTTAACTCAGCTGCTAGACCTTGATATTTCCGAATTTTTTCTACGCAGATTGAGTTAATGTTTCCGTCATTTGGCACAGCTATATCTATAATTTCAGCCACCTTAATATTACCGTCAATTAATACAATATCAGGTCTGTTGTGGATCACGAGATGGTCTGTTATGAACGATTGGTTCCAATATAATTTTAAGTCATCCTTCTGGCAAATACCTTTAGGGCAATATTTATAGTAGGGCTTCGAGTCGTTTAATAATTTAATTTTTAGACCAATTGCCTGGTGATAGACTTTGGCAACATCGTCATGTCTTTTTAGATATTCTGTACCTGCAAGAGCTCCGCAGCCTCCAGTTATGTGTTGAATGGACTCATATGTGCTTGCACAGAGCCTACATTTGTCCGATACATTCTGTTGCTTCAAGACGTGTCGCCAGTAGGATCTGGTAGCTATAACCTGGTCCTGGATTGCAGTTAAAAAACCTTCAGTCTCGGGAAACAGACTTCCTCCTACCAGCCAGCTAACAGACAAAGATTTATCTATTTCAGTCTGCTGAAAAAACCTTCCATGTAATGTTTTTGACTTCCATTCTTCCATGCGGTCTTTGTCGGTAACAAAGATTGGCGCAGTTTCATGAGAGGCTAATTGTAGAGCAGTGTGCCCGCGATCGAGATTGCAGATTATCTTATGACACGGCACTGCGCTTTGTTTAAAGTACTCCCTTAGGTTCTTTTCTTGATTTCGACAAGACTCTTCAATATTTGTAAGACCTCTCCCTCCTTCCTTTCTTGGCAGGTAAAGCCTTGCCATAGATGCAGTCGGGTGGTGCATTCTGGAACCCGTCATACTTGTTCTTATTAACCTATCTAATTCCTGGAGTGACGTTGTGGACCATTTTAGAATTCCAAAGCTGTAAGATAAGGAAGGAATAACCCATGTATTTATAGCTTTTATCATTAAACCTGAAGCAAGATGTGTTCTAAGGATGATCTTTAGTCTTTTTTTAAATGAACCTATCAATTTACCTTTTACATCCTTTTTAGCTATTTTTAAATGCTGTTCTATCCCTAGATATTTATACGTATCTTCTTTCTGAAGGTTCTTAATATGATATTCTTCATTAAACAAGTTTTCGGAATTATTTGGTTTTCCTTTTATAACGTGAAGAACTGCGCATTTCTCAGTCCCAAGGGACATCTGTATGGAGTCACTAAAGTGGCTGACTGTCTTTAGCATAGACTGGAGCTGGGATTTATTCTTTGCGTAGAGTTTTAAATCGTCCATATAGAAGCTATGACTGATCATTGCACTTAATTCATTAAATTTTACTTTGTATCCATTTTTATTATTATTATTATTATTATTATATATATATATATATATATATATATATATATATATATATTATATATATATATATATATATATATATATATATATATATATAATGTGGGAATGTTCAATAGTAGGTTTTTGAAACCCAACTTATCCTATCTCGCATCGCCAACAAATCATCGGTGTTTGAGATCACATACACTTTTTTAGAGAGCATCAACGTCGAATACTATTGGGTTGATACAATATTTCATAGTATATGTTCACGTTTGGCAGATAAATGTGCGAAAATAACAATAACATAGATGTTAGAGTTCTTGAAAGTTGGTGATAAAGAAAAAGAAACACAATGTATACAAAACTTTACTTCTAAAATTTACTAATTAATTAAAATTTACTTCTAAATAATTCAATTATAACACATTAATTAATGACTTTAATTAACATATGAAAAAGTGATTAAGAAGGTTACAAAAAAAAAAGTGTTGTCAGGTAGATTTCAACAATATTGATTGGTGATAGCCACTGTTAATAACCCATGCGGCATTGGTCTCCAACAGTAGCTTTCTTTATTAGTCTAATCAATAAACTAATTTAAGAAGAAAGAATAGCAAAGTCATCGCGTATAGATCCTTATAAATTACTTTTATATTACTGTATTGAAAAAGAATGTAATAACAGAAAAAAAAAAATTCTAAAGGAAGGTTTAATGTTTTCTTTCTTTGCTTATATAATAGTTCGCATAAATACTAATTACAATATTGCATGAATGAAGAGCAATTAGTTCTAGCATTATTGCCCACATAGTGGAAGATTGTATTATTTTTCTTTGAAAACTATTAACAATTCAAATATAATTTACATTATGGTATAGATTAAAATATGGATTATACTTACGTTTATTAGTGATGTTTCCTAATACGTTGCCTCTGTCTCCCTTAATATCATCTACGATTATTCTCATCCACGGCATCCCTACAGCATCTCTTACACTTAAGAGGTCAGAAAATACTGAAAATAAATTTGTATCAGTCAAAATAACACCGATGAAAAATAGCTAACATTTTTTTTATTATTTATAGACATTAACTTTCACAACAACAATCACTAACGGATCCAGGATTTAATTATAGGGAGGGGGATTTAGCCCAAAAGTTGTTTTTTGTATGTATATATTAGGATAATTATTTTGGAAGAAAGAAAAAAACTAACAACATATATGATAAGTGATTCTTGAAGTCCTATTAAATGTAATTAGACGAACAATAATACTTTTAGAGATACTTTTTTCATAAAAAATGGTTATATTTATATTTTGGGGGGAGGCTTCAGCCCGGAAGTCCCCCTCCTCCCCCCTCTCCGTTGATCACCCTGTGCTGCCAGTTATCAATCACCACAAATCTTTTTTTACCCGCTTTTATTCCCGCGGAATCGTCTAGGTTATTATGAAACAGTGTATTTTTTATTCACAGGTTTTCAAAAATTAATGAATAAACTCATGCAATTAAATATGTCATAAGAATTATATTTATTAATAGACATATTACTGAGAACTTTTCCACGTCAGCTAAACATTAGCCTTTTAAGTTTAAATGGTTAGATAGATTTTGTGGTATCCAAATACAGATTAAAGGAGTCAGCCAGCCGGCTTTTTGTTTTTCTTGTGAATTTAAAATTAATGAAAGACAATTAGATGCATGAAAAGAAGAAATGTGCGATGAGCTAAAGTTGAGAAGGAAACGAAGAAGAAGAGATTATGTCTAAGACTAGTTTAAATTGGGTTTGAAGCCCAATGGACGAGACTTGTTAAATTAAGAAATAATTAAAATATATTAGAAACTAATTATTATTCAATAAAACAACAACCAATAATGACGTTAGTTAACAGATGAAAAAGTGTTTAAGAAGGTTACAAAAAAAAAGCACTTACTTCTGTTTCTGGAATATCTATACAGTTTTAAAATATTTTTTAAATTTATTTATCTATATCTATTGTTCGATTCTGTCTATCATAATCGTTTTTATTATTATACCTATATAGTGTGAATGTTATCCAACCTCACTATAACTAGTGTCCATGTGACAGATGGTTGTAATACTCAATAAAAAATATTATTATACCTATTCGAAATATCTCAATTGAACGCTATCTAAATACCTGAATTGTACGAGATGGTAGAAAATGGAGTTCAGTTCCAGTTTCAACACGGAAATAACACAAGATATTATCAAATCAAACCTCAAAAATCAATTTTATTTAACTAATGAAAAATTAATGTAATCTGTATGATTTTTTTTTTTTTTTTTTTTTTTTGGAAAATTAAACTTTATTCTGGGACTAAGTCCCTTTAGAATAACAATATTGAGTTAATACAAAATAAAGTACAAATCTGGCCAAAAACTAACTTATAAAATTTTAATATTATATACATTATTTAAAAAGTATGTAACCAGTGAAAAAATAAAATATATATACAAATGAACATAAAATCTTCTTAAAATTACTTAATTGTGATGAAAAAAAAAAAGAAGAAGAGAAATTACATATTTATATATACATAACTACACAATTTATAAACAATAGGCTATCTAATAGAAAACTAACTTAATACAAAATGTAATAATATCTACAGTGGTTTATATAATAATATGCAGACACTAAGATAAAATAAAATCTTAGGATACTTGTGGTGTAATGGAAAAAAAAAAAAGTAAAATAAATAAAAGGAACTATTTATACGTACATTCTCACATTGTCACACATAAAGACAAAAATACAAAACATAAGCAAATATACCCGAAAGAAAAAGCACAACCTGAGGAGAAGAGAAAAACACACAAATATCAAAAATAACAGTCAAACTAGGTGACAAAGATCATTGCTGTTTTATGTTAAAACTTAGTAGTAGGCACAACTATTTACTTCACGCAAGTTCAGTTCATAAAATGAAATTTATGATGGTAAATCTTCTGTTTGGGATGTAAGGAGATATTGGAAAAGGAGGAATTTGAAAGTTGACAGGGAAGAGGCATGACGGATGTTATGTGGCAAAGAATTCCAGTAGGAGACGGAACGGGATAAGAAGAAACGTTCATAGGTTTTTGTCCTGTGGAATGGAATATAGAGGTCAGAAACACGGGATCTCGTTTTTATTGAGTGGACTAAGGGTTTAGGCTGGAGGAGACAACAGATATAGGAAGGGTGCTGGGAGTTGATCCTTTGGTATAAGAAATTTCCAAGGAAGTATAGGCGGCGGGAAGAGGGGAAGAGCCACTTTGACTCGGCATATAGGTGGGACACATGAGACCATCTCGAAGTGCCGAAGACGAATCTTAAAAAACAGTTCATGATTCTCTTCAGTCTGTCCTCAAGCTCCAACGAGAGGCCACCGTATACCACACAGCCATAGTCAAAGTAGGGGAAAATCAATGAGGAAACGAGGAGCCTGCGGATAGGTTGTGGGAGATGCTGACGAGAACGATGAAATAATTTAAGAGTACCAATTGACCTTCTGGAGATTTGAGCAATATGGGGTTTCCATGATAGGTTTTGATCAATGGTAATTCCTAAGTTTTTTACAGAGGAGGTAAAGGATATTGGTTGGTCATTAATATTCAAGGAAGGATGGGTGGAAATGGATCTAAGGAGGGAGTTGGAACCTATAAGAATGGCCTGGGTTTTCGTTGCATTCAACTTTAATTTATTCAAGCTTGCCCATGCACTTATCCTATCTAGGTCTCTCTGAATATTCGTAAACGCTTCTAATAACTCAGTGGGCGGAAAGGAAAAATAAATTTGGGAGTCATCAGCATATAGATGGTATGGACAATGGTGGACTGAACTAGGAAGGTCATTGATGTAGGAATTAAAAAGGATAGGAGAAATGCTTGAACCCTGGGCTACTCCATGAGACAAAGAGAGGAAGGAAGATAAGGGTTGATTCGGAATACTAACGGCTTGAGTCCTGTCAGAAAGAAAGGATTGGAACTATTGGATAGAACTATTGGAAAAGGATAGAGATTTTAATTTATTGAAGAGAATAGAATGGTCTAAGGAGTCGAATGCTTTGGAGAAGTCGAGGAGTACTAATACAGTCAGTTTTCTTTCGTCAATTGCAGTATGTATGTCATTTGTGATTTTAGCTAAAGCGGATTGAGTGGAGAAGCCTGGGCGAAAGCCAGATTGGAGAGGATCTAAAAGTTTGAACTCTTCGAGGTAATTGGAAATTTGGGATTGGACTATTCTTTCGAGGGGTTTTGACAGATTTGAGAGGATGGAGATTGGACGATAGTCTTTAGGAGAGGTGGGGTTAGGGATTTTGTTAATAGGACGGACTAAGGCTTTTTTCCAGGATGTAGGAAAAACTGAATTTTGAAGGGAAAAGTTATAAATGAATAGAAGAACTGGAAGGATTTCAGGAAGGCATAATTTTAACAGTTTGACAGGTATTCCGTCAATTCCTGAAGAGTTGGATTGGGATTTCACTATGGAGGAAATAAGGTTCGTAGGAGTGATGTAGGAAAAATAAAAATTATCACTATTAAATGCAGATGATACAGGAATATAAGAAGAGGCGGGAGAAATATTACTAGAGGAGGAGGACAAAAAGTAGGAATTTAAGGCATCAGGAGAGACTGGGACAGCTAGGGAAGAAGATGATTTGCAAAGAGATAGCTTTCGGAGTAAATGCCATTTGGATTTTGAATCAGGAGCTGAGGAGAAGGCTTCATGAAAGTAATTGTTTTTCGCTTGCCTGATCGTTGTTTGCGTCAAGTTACGGAGTACCCTGAACGCTTCGTAGTCATCTGCAAGCCTGGTTCTTCTGAAACGTCTACGGGCTGCCTCACGTCTCTTTTGCATATTTCGAATTTCTTGACACATCCAAGGAGCAGGCTGGCGGCGGAATGTAGAGGTTTTAAGTGGGACGAGGGTATTGAGGATATGGAGGAGGTTAGAAGTCAGGATATCTACCATGGTATCGATTGAGGAGCTGGTGTAAACATCATTCCAATTCAGGGTTTCAATATCGGGCAAGATGCTTTCACGGGTTAGGGAATTTATATTGCGGAAGGTTATGGTTTTAGGAAGGATCGCAGGGGTTTGGATATTGTATGATAGCTGGATGAGGTCATGTGAAGACAGGAAAGGAACAGGTTGTTGGGACGAGGACAAAAGGTTCTGCGCAGAATCGATGATAAACAGGTCCAGCCATGTATCAGACCAGTAAGTGTGATGCGTAGGAGCAAATGGCACTATAAAGAGGTTAAGGGAGTAGAAAAGGTTTTCCAGGTATTGTTTATCGTGGGAATCGGAAAGGAGATTTATAATAATTATGAATACAAAAAATAAAAAACGGGACCATATCATCAAGAAGTCATATGACTTCATTTAATTAGTTTTTTTAAACTAGTATGCCGGAGGACTGTTATTGTTTTGTGCTTATACTACAAGTTGACTTCATTTGATAGGTTATGTATATTTTCAATTTTTTTTTTTTTGTATTCACATTTACTATTATAATTTTATAGTGTAAATCGTAAATATGTATTATAGTGGATAGATTCATTATTGTTAGGATAGAATACCATTATGAAATTTAAAATTTGACTCCTACCATATCGCGTCACTTACAGAGATCATTTCAGAAAATTAACATAATATGTATTCGAAAATATACTTACTGCGATTTGCACCCAGTCCATTATTTTTATTATTGACTGGATATCGTTTCGATAACGTTTTGCTTATAATGTTCTTTGAAAAGATCAAGCCGTCCTCAACGTGAGGGTCGTCTGCATGTTCTGAATTTATTGACTCGGAACGATTATGTTTTGTGTTTGTTCTACGATTCTTTGTTGCTTCTGAAATATGAAAGAACTTCGTTTAATAAAGCTAATGAATTCAGTTGGTGACAAATGTTTTTATCATGATAATGATAATGAATATTTCTCATTATAGACGCTATTAGTTATAAATATTGGGGGAGGAGGCTTAACATTATAGTAGTGTCCGATGCATGGAAGGGAAAGGGAGTGGGGATAGAACGCGATTAATAAAGGATTCGCTCAGTAATTAGTTTAATATTATTTTTCAAAAGGTGTTTTTTGTCGGTACGCCATGTCTTTGTTGAATCTCAATCCCATGATCGAGCCATCATTTTGAAGATTATTTTCTCCTTCAGGTGGAAAATATTAGCACAATCCAGAGAAACAAAATATATTGAGGTAAGATAATTTTATTTGCGTAAGACTCAAGAAGTATGTTATTTAGGATATATAGAGTTTGAGAAGAAGAACAACAAAACGACAAAAAAAAGAAAGAAAAAAAATTATCCTAATCGGATCATTTTGAGCAAAGATACAACCAATTGTGTTTTGTACGCACGTTTTGGTTGATTATTTGAAATCAATTGTTGTAATCGACCATGGATAAAATGACTTCTCCCCCCCTCTTATAATACATTTAATTCACTTATTTACATTTGTTTACTGACCAATATACTATGAATATGAATTATTCGCATAGGCCAACTTTTTTTTTTTTTTTTATTCCCCATTTCTGGCATACGGGGTTCGGTGACAGTAAGGTAGTGCGCATGCCACTACCATCAATAAACTCTCTTTATTTATGTTTACATGCTTTCTGGATTTTTATTTTTGGGAACAATGTTGGGTAATCTGTGGTGCAGCCCAGCGTGCGGTAGCATGCCTTATGACGGGACTGCACCTTCTCTCCCTTCCTCTTCTTCATCGGTCTCTTCCTCTACGGCCTCCGGCGGGCGACCTCTCCCAAGGGTGAAATGCTCCGGTCCCACCACCTCCTTCCATCTCCTGACGTACTCAGTGAAGTAGGGGTAGTAGCCCCCACCCATCAGCCTCGGTAGGTCCGCCTCTTCCATTGCATATAGTCCTGTCATCGTTGACAGCCAGGCTCTATGCCCAGCCATCTTTTCGCTTCAGGACTACATTCTCCGCTGTGTCTGGAACCCCACAGCTGGGGCACAAGGGGTTGATGTTCATCCCATGCTTGTTCAGCGTGGCTCTGAAACCCCCGTGCCCCGTACCGTAGTGGCCAACTAATAATATAATCATTATAAATACCGTTTATTGATTGTTTTAATTTATTTAAACTAAACTACTTTGAACAATGGAGGGTCAGGCCCCCTAAAATATTGAGAAGGAAGAATGTGCCTTTCTTCCCCTCAGTTCCGGAGCCTATGGATATCATTAAATTTGTTAGAGTTCTGAGAATTTGGTGATGATGAAAAAGAAACACAATGTAAACAAAACGAAAATTTACTTCTGAATCAATTATAACACTACACATACTGGCATTAATTAACAGATGAAAAAAAGTTATTAAAAAGGTTACAAACAAAAACAGGTTACAAACAAAAACAGTGTTGCCAGATAGATTTACAATATTGGTGATAGTTATTGTTAATAACTTCTCCTACACATGCGGCATTGGTCTCAAACAAAATTAATTATGCATTTCTAATAGTATTTCGTGCGATTTCAGTTTTAAAAAAATAATCAAACCAAATAAGAGACGATTAAATTACTTTTTATTTATACATTTGAAATGTGGTTTATTAAAATTATTTTATGTATTTATATGATATTCACAACTGTATACAAAAAATAAATCTAGTAAATTCGCACATGGATATAATGTCATGAAACACATGTTGAGAAACTATCCATTGGTAGCACTCTAATAATTTGTCTATATTAGGAGATCAGATGGCCATCTTCTTTTCAGACGCCTTACACACGTCTTACAGACGCCAGACGACGAGGGTTATTAAAATTAAAATTTTTCTTCATTCTTTGGATTTTTGGTTCATTAACATTTATTATTTTAAATAGTTGTTTTCAATTCATAATAATTAACCCATATTTTAAAAGTCGACTATTATGAATGTGTGTGGGCTCCTTCGGGGTACATATTTTATTAAGGCTTGATCAATTTTTTGCAATTCCTTCTCATTCAGAAATATTCATGTTTTTAATCATGAATGAGGACATGTCCTATTAATATTTTTCTGCATTATGTTATGGTAAGGTATAATAACGATAAAGCATACCTTTACCTTTCAAGTTTTTGTTTTTGAACAGACGTTGCCTCTCACTCAGTAGATTGTTTATGATCAATCGGATCCATGGCATTCGGACCGGGTCATTGATATGTAATAAATCGGATAGTACTGAAAAGAAGAATATTTCGTTTAGTAACATTTCGGAAGAATGTTAGTTTTTCATTTACCTATTAAAGGAGCCTTTCTGTTGACAGAATGACTAACTCCAATTTCAACATTTTTTTATTATTAATTTTAGTGATATTTCTATTTGGAAAATGTATATATTTATTCACAGTTCTATATTTCAACACTGCAACCACCTACTCTGGAATCAACCTACTCACCGCCTATACATATATTGTAAATTTTCCAACTAGAAATATCACAAATATGATTTTACCCAAAAATGTTGAAATTGTAGTTAGTCATTATGCCAACTGAAAGGCTCATATATTATATTTCTGCTGTATTACATCAATTGCTTAATATTGCTAATTTGTCATAACTCAATAGTGGCAGTGTATTAGTTCCAAAATATAGCAGCTTATTTCGTCCTAATATACTGATACAACCCAAATAATAATCTTTAATAGGTTGGTTTTGTGAGTGAGAGTACATACATATATATTTTCGTACATCGTTACTTAACTTTAAATAAAAGGTTCTCTACTTAAGCGTAATTGTAATCAACAAAATGATTATTATTACACAAAATTTATAAATCTTCGAATTTTGTTATTCCAAATCAATAATTTAACATTTGACGTCATTCATTCAAACTTAAATGCCAAATCTATCAAAGTATTGATATTTCTTCATCATTTCTCGCAGTATTTACCATAATTTTGTCGAGCATTTGACATATGCACTTGTGTATTTGATGATCATTCGAATTCAGTTACTCAGTGAATTATTTTGAAGTTGATTGCTTGATATAAATATTGTACATATTACTATTATCTTCAGTTTTTTAAAAATTATATACGGTGTATTTTTTTTAATAATATAGGTTGGATTATTTTTTACAATGATATAAAATTATCTTTTGTTTATGTCATAAGTAATATTAAAAATGTAGAAATTGATTGATCATGTCTATTGAAAACCTTTTACCCTAGCAACATTTTTTTAATCCGTCATGGTCAGGATTCAAGTTTAAGAGAAAATTTGTCATTTATATGTTTGTCCCCTGAATACATTTAACAAGCCATTGACCAACTTATTGTTTATTGCTTATTGTTTGTAAATGTTTACAGGGCATTCATAAATATGTAAATTATCTTTTGATTTATTGTTATAAATGACCATCAAGATTTCATGGCAAATCCTATTCTGGTCAATATACAATGTTAATGAAATATGTGTGCATTTACATATTTCCATATTTCTTTAAATTTCCATCCAAACTAAATTCGACATTTTGTATTTTCAATACTTTAATCTTCTCAATACCCCAGTTTTAGAACATTCGTAAAGCAGTAAACGTTTTTTAATTTCTTAATGAAATGCATTTATTTTTCTGATCGGTCATAAAATATGAATCGCAATTAATGAAAAAACTAATCCCTTAAAAGTTGCATTATTCTTTGTAATTCCACTTCTTGAGTAAAATATATATTTTCATATTAGGAGCGTTATTAAACTTTTCATGAAACTTCGAGTATTTTTTATTTTTTTTTTTATTTGAAAATTAATACATTCTGCCGCATTGGAGGGCATTAATATTAGGGCTACATTAAACATTCACACAATATATACATACAAATGATAACTAAAATAGAGATAAAAGAAAAATAGTTTAACATACATAGGTTAAAAAAATAAATAAATAAATAAACCAAGAGAAAAAAAAAAGAGAGAGAGAAAAGCTAAATGAAATTGAAATATATAAAACACATCCATACCTATATACAATATTTACATTCGCCCAGAGGATTCTGAGTCATACTTTATCCCCCAAATGTGGAAGCCAAGGTAGGACCCCAGGAAATCCCAGTGCTTCTCTACCAGCCGCGTCACTAGTATTGCAAGCCAGTGGAGACTGAAGGAGGGCACTAGAGCAACAGACGCTTAAGACATCAGTGGAGAATCTGGCCATTGCCAGTACTCCAATATATACATATTTACAAAAGGTCGCGGGGCCACTGCAGTTATAAACTCCGGGGAGGATTATAGGGATGGCTGGAGCTAGATAGGATTTGTGCTACATGATTTGGATGATGAGTCAGATTCTGGTGAACTTTGGAAAATTTGTCTGGGATTATGTCAATAACAAATGGGATATGAAGGTCATTATGGAGGGTTTTGTTGGATACATAGAAGGGAGCATCGACTATTGTTAGGAGGACTTTATACTGAAAGGATTGAATGCGCTTAATTTTAGAAGGTTTTGTTGACCCCCACAGCTCTAGTCCGTAGGTCCAGATAGGTTTCAGGATTGTCTTGTAGATTAGTAGTTTGTTGTCGACTGAAATTTGAGATTTTCTATTCATTACTCTATATAGCTGTCCGAATTGTCTGTTTAGTTGTCTTTTAAGTCTGGTATGAGGGTTCAACGTTAGTCTTTTATCTAGAAGAAAGCCAAGATACCGGACTGTGTCTGAAAGAGGAAGTGGTATGGATTTGAAGTAGACTGGTGGACAGGACTTGCGCCGAAGGGTAAAAGTGATGTGTTTGGATTTGGATTCATTTACTTTGATGCGCCACTTATTACACCAATGTTCAATAACAGAAATGTGGCTTTGTAGGTTTGAGGATGCAGTTTTAGGATCTGGATTGGAAGATAGGATAGCTGTGTCATCAGCGAATGTTGCCAGGAGGGTTTTGGGATGGGTAGGAATATCAGCGGTAAAGAGAATGTAGAGGACGGGACACATGACGCTGCATTGAGGAACTCCCGCCTCAACTGAATGGCAGTTTGAGAATTTGATCGGAGTATTAGATATAAGGACTGTGGTAGGTGGGTTTTGAGCTTGAAGAGTAGTCCGGTGTGCCATACGCTGTCAAAAACTTGCTCAATGTCCAGGAATGCTCCCGAGCAATACTCTTTGCTTTCTAATACTAAGGATATGTGGTCAAAAATTCGGTGTCCTTGTTGAACAGTGGAATGCTGGAAACGAAATACGAATTGATGGGTAGGAAGGTTTTGTGATTCTATTATGGGTAGCATTCTTTTTAATAGAATTTTTTCAAATATTTTTGAAAGGATTGGGAGTAGGCTGATTGGTCTATAGGTCGATGATGTGTTAATGGAAGGTTTGGCTGGTTTCAGGAAAAGGACGATGGTGGAATGTTTCCATAAGAGAGGAAAATGGGTAGTTCTTAGGATGCAGTTGTATATATATGTGAGAAATATGATCGCTATGGGTGGTAGTTTATTAAGGATCTGTGGGGTTAGAAGGACGTATCCAAGAGATTTGCGGGAAGATAATTTTTGTAAATGGTGTTTGACCTCAGAAGGATGAACTGCTTTTGGTGGTGGGGAAAGTGGAATTGATGAGGAGTGGAATTTTTCTACCTTTGTTGTATGGATGGAATGGGATTCAGGATGAGCAGTAAATGTACAGGAGAGGTGTTTGGCGAATTCCTCAGCTTTTTCTTCATCAGACGCCGCCCATGAGTCATCGCTTCGACGGAGGTGATGGGAAATATTTTGGGATTTTAGCATTTTTTAAGTGATTGTCGTGTGCGGAGAGAGAGTTAAGGTAAGAGTTAAAGGATTGGGATTTGGAGTTGGATAATTCTAGCTTGACTTTTTTAAAGTAATAATTATAGGAACGGCGATCTGTGGGATGTCTGGTGCGTTGCCATAACATTCTCGTACGGCGTTTGGTTTGGATTAACTTGAGGATGTGTTGAGGTAACTTATTTTTCTTAGGAATTATTGGGGAATGATTAGGGGAGGTGCTTCCTCTGTCCTGCTGGCCAGACTGCTTGTTGAATGGTGGTGGTAAAGGAGTGTACGGCATTATCAAGGTCTTCTGGGGTTTTCAGGCTTATTCTGAGGTCAATTTGTTCGGAAAGGATTTGATGGAAGAGTTTCCAGTTGACTGGACCTATGATAAAGGACGGTGGAGAGGGTTTAGGAATTGGAGCTAGTGATAATTATAATATTAATGGACTGTGGTCTGAGGAAAGTTCATCAAGTCGTGCAATGGAATAGTTGAGGGAACCTAAACCACTGTGGATGAAGAAATCAAGGATATCGGGATTTCGGTTAGGATCAGTGGGCCAGTAGGTAGGTGAGGTCGGGAGAACTAGGTTAAAACGTTGGGAGTTGAGTGCAGACAGCTGTGTTCGGCCGTGAGAATTTGTGGTTCTTGAGCCCCATTGTTGATGCTTGGCGTTTAAGTCTGCACCCAGGAAGAAATGGTGTCCTAAGGAATTGAAGAGGGAACTGAATTGGGTATTAGAGATGGATTGGTTAGGAGGGCAATATGCTGATGCAAATGTAATAGGATTGGAGAAGGTTTGGATTATGATAGCAGTGGATTGCAGGAAATCATGAGTAGGTAATGGGAGTAGGTGATGAGAGAGAGATTGGTGTACAATGACTGCAGGGCCGGCATGTGCTCTACCGTCAGCACGGTCAGTACGGTATGTGGAGTATTGTGGTATTTTTAATGTTTGTTTTTTGGTTAGTCGAGTTTCCGTAATAAGGGCTACATCAATGTTCTTGTCTAGTAGTAGAGCTGTCAGTTCGTCAGTGTGATTTCTAACACGATTCGCATTCCAAAGGAGAATGGATAAGTTTTTGGAAGGAATCATTTAATGATTTTTTTAAGGGAGGGATGAGGTGGGATACTAGATTTGTAAGGAGAGATATCAGTGGGGTAACTAGGGATTTGAATTCAGTGAAGAAAGATGCCTACAAACTGGTAAGGTTTGTTGGTATCCATCAATTGTGGCTTGTGATGGAGGAGGAATATGAGAAATGTGATGTTGATGAGGTTGTTGAGGGGTTTGTACTTTAGGAGGGATAGGATGTTGAAGCTGGGATTGGGGTTCCTGTTGCGGCAGGGCCTCACATTTGTCAGTCGGGGCTCTGCCCCCTAGTAACTGTGAAAAAGAAACTTTAGAGTCTAATATTTTAGCAGGTCATCTTCTTGGCTTAGAGATTTCTTCTTGGTTCCCGGGTTTGCGAAATTTATTTTTGATGTTTTTGTAGACTTAGCAGCCCTTGTAGTTGGCAGGATGTCCTTCCAGGCATAACGCACATACAGCGGGTGTAGATTTCATTTTATTACATTCACTAGTCTTGTGTGACTCTCCGCATTTCATGCATCTTGGAATGTGGTGGCAGTAAGTTTTGGTGTGGCCATATGCCTGAAAATTATGACACTGGACGATTTCTCTTTTAGTATGGTTTTTCAACCTTAACACTAGTATAATATAATCTTCTAATTTCATATATTTTATCAACTTCTGCTGAGGGTTCTAAATCTATGAAAAATATGGGTAATGGTATTTGTCTATGAGCACCGGATACATCTCTGTCGTCCTTCATTACATTGGTGACCTGTCGGACTTTGAAACCTAGGACCGTTAGTTCTTCTTAGATCGCCTCGGCTGGATTAGACGGGTGCGAATTTCGGATTACTACCCTCAGGGAACGCTTTTGCCTCAATTGGTAAGTGTTTTTTACTCCTAAGTTTCTGTTTAATGTAACACATCTAAATAATTGGTAATTAATCTGAATGCCTCACAATTTCAAAAAAAAAGTTAATAAATTATTTTCCAGCTTAGGCGGCAGGTTGATAAAGGCGTTATATTAGGCCCGTTACATAACCTCAATATATTTTTAAACGCAGTTCATGCGACCAAGTATAATTTAAAAATATTTGCACTCTTAAATACTTTGTTCTGCCAAATATCAAAGGGATTTAGTATCTTGTTCTTATATGACAACTATGACAGCTTATCAACAATTACAGTTGAACTGTATTGCTTAAATTTTTCTGGTCTCGGTTTGGTTTCATTACATCCGCTTTTCATAGAAAGTTCGGGAAAAAATCCAATTTCTCATTTTTTTTTTTTTTTTTTTTGTAATATGATTCTAAACTAATTAAAATTTGTTACAATTGAATAATATCATTAAACTTACATAGATTTTTCTTGCGACCATTTCTCTTTTCTCTTTTTCTTACTGCATTGCCATTCCTTGCTTTCCTATCAGAACTTACATTTTCTAAGGATGAATTTGGATCGGATGAGTCATCTTCAGGTAATTCTGTAGATGCATCATCCTCGATTTCGATGTTAATGGAGTCAAATTGCTCCTCGTAAGTTTCTAATAATTTGTGGAATGCGTATCCTGAAATTTTGAAAATTTATATTTAATTTTATTCATTTATTTATAAGCTAGTAGGTAATATATTTGTTAAATATCAATCACAAAAATCTATACGATAGGACTAGGTGACTTAGGAGAGAAAAAAACCTTTTTTTTTCATATAAATATAAAATCCAAATGCTTGGTGTCCAATTATATTGGGTTGCTGGGCACACAACATACTGATTAATCTTTAGGAAAATTAATAAAGCTTACATATAAATATATAGATGTGGTTAATATGTATGAGTATAATAAATAAATACATATATATATATATATATATATATATATATATATATATATATATATATATATATATATATATATATATATATATATATATATATATATATTTTCCCCCTTGATCATGGGCTTTCTTTTTTTGTTTACTTCTCTCTCTTTATCTCTCTAAAATGCTATAAGTATTAAAATGCTTAATTCAATACAAACAATAACAAAAACAAAAGTGTATATACAATTTAATACAATAAAACGTTATCAATAAATAAATATATACATTTATTTCAAACGGAGTAAAGATTATATTGCACGACTTTTCTTACAAACTGAATTTATGAACATTTAAAAATAATAATGAAAAAAATATATAATCTTCAGAGGCCGTACTAAATTATATTGAATTGAAATATGAAACACTTAAACCAGATGTGAATAAAAATATACTGTTTATTTCATTCTGCCATACAATAAAAATTTTAAGTAAAATATAATAGAGTTGAACCATACCATACACAGCGAGCTTGAATACGAATTCGCTGTGATTGCTAGGTGGAGAATTCATTATGTTTACAGCCTGATTCATTATATCTTCATTCTCTGCCTGGTTTAACTTGGAGCTAAATGTTCTATTTGTCAATTCATTGACGACCTCACGTAATGATCCTCTCATTTTCGCATCTGAAATAGTATAGTTTATCATTTATATTTATTTCAAACAAGCATTGAATTAAACCTATGTTTTTTCAAAGTATTAAAATTATGAAACTTAATTGAAATATCCTCGTTTTATTAAAGGACTAAACCATTGAGTTGTATACTGAAGGGGAGGGCGTGGATTAGAACTCAGTTATCAGTTTACTTCCTATATTATAGCCAGGGCCCGGAATTTTATGCAGCAAAAGCCCACAGAATATGCCTTATAGTATGAAATAAAACCTGAAGGAAGCAGTGAAAAAATTCTAAATAAGTCTTAAAACATATAAAATATTCAATTACTCTAATGTGCCGACAAAACCTTTCGAAACAAATCTTTAAAAAATATATAGAAGATTAAAAATTAAATAAGATTATCTATTTATTGTTTATAAATCAAAATAATTAGAACATAACGCTGTAAATAAAAAACGGGAAATAAAATATATATTTAGTAATGGTTTAAAAAATATAATATAAAATATTTTCAAAAAGTAAAATATCAGTATTACAAAGTTCCAACTAGTAAAAAATAGAAACAGCTATAGGTAATTGTATATAATGATGATAACTAATTGTCTATATTTTTAAAAAAATGAACACAACAACAAAAAACACAAATGAGCACTTAATCAATAATATAATGTGAGATACTTAATTAATGTATTAAAATAATATAATTTACCATTAGTAATAAAAGTTTTAAAGATTGTTTCGTCTTTGGAATCGCAAGGATCGGTCCAAAATTCAATTCTGTTGTAAAATATGCACTTAAAATAAGAAATTAAGTTGAAATCAACGAAGAGAGAAAAAATTTAGAAAATGAAACAGAATATCATATTCTAAAAAGTCAATAGCTGAAGGTGGAGTTATTTTGTTGTTATTTTTTTATTGAAAATTAGCCTACTACTGCATTAAGGATATTTATCTTCATGTTCCATTCGTCAATTCTAATTGATATTGTTGCTTTTTATTTGCAATATCAAAATTCAATTATATGCATTTGTCATCAAACAAGCAATTTAAAATTTGGCTAATTGCAATTGGGTACACTAGTTCTTATATATATATAAAATTAAGAGGGAATATAAGCAAACCATTTCCGATAAAAACCGGTGTGAAACAAGGGGACGGACTGTCACCTATTCTCTTCAACGTTGTACTCGACAAAGTTATGAGGACCTTATGGGAAAAAGAAACATCAGGAGCTAAAGTAGGAAATCAAAGTAGCAATATCCTGGTAAAATGTCTAGCTTTTGCGGATGACTTGGCCTTATTGGCAGAGTCGGAAGAAGAGGTGATTAGACAGATAAATTCTCTGAAAAAAATAGCTGAGAAAACTGGACTTACAATCTCCTTCCAGAAGACTAAATTTATGACCACAAATCCCAACTTTAGGAAGACAGAAATAAAAACAGAATTCGGTAAAATCATGGTGGTTAAAAGCTTTAAATACCTGGGAGAAATAATCAGCAGAAATTTATCGGAGAAAGAAAGCATGGAATATAGGATTAAAAATTAGGAGAAATTATGCTTCTTAACAAGTAGCATTTATAATAAAAAATGCCTCTCCAAAAAATCCAAAATCAGGCACTACAGTGGTAAAGCCAGTGATAATGTACGGAACGGAGACAATGTTCTTTCCCAGTTTGTAGAAGCTGCTGAAAATAGAAAGAAGGATTCTTAGAAGAATCCATGGACCCAAAATAACACCAGAAGGATATAGACTGAAATCCAATAAGGAGATTTACAGTTTAACCTCTGATTTGGAAACGGAAATGAGGGTAAGAAGACTTAGGTTTTATGGACACATACAAAGAATGACTGAGGAGAGATTAAACAAGAAGATTTTAAGTAGGGTTGTGGGATACAAGTTTAACCATGGATGTACGGTACAAATATAACAAGAAATTCAGAGGCTTGGGATAACAAGGGAATTATGTGAGGATAGGACGGAATACAAGAAATTCCTGAAAAGTGCGGTGCATGTGGTGGACAGTAAGGAACTTCCGTCCAGGAGGAAGTGGACGGAGGAGAGGAAGAAAAAAGGATATAGACTGATATCCAATAAGGAGATTTACAGTGAAACATCTGATTTGGAAACGGAAATGAGGGTAAGAAGACTTAGGTTGTATGGACACATACAAAGGATGACCGAGGAGAGATTAAACAAACAGATTTTCAGTAGGGTTGTGGGATACAAGTTTAACCATGGATATACGGTACAAATAAAACAAGAAATTCAGAGGCTTGGGATAACAAGGGAATTATGTGAGGATAGGACGGTAAGGACATGTGGTGGACAGTAAGGAACTTCCGTCCAGGAGGAAGTGGACGGAGGAGAGGAAGAAAAAATTTAGCGATATCCTCAAGCAGAGATGGGAAGAAAAGAGAAAATTGAAAAAGAAACCAGTTTCATAGTCGCGTAGTCCTTCAGGGCTATATATATATATATATATATATATATATATATATATATATATATATATATATATATATATATATATATATATTTGATCAGAACTTTAAAAAACTAGATGCAAACAAAATAACCAACTGCGGTAAAATCTGGGCCTTGATTATAACATAATGTATTATTTCCCATATGTGTTTTTTTTTCTCGGTACGTCATATCTTGGTTAAATCCAATGTTTGGGCAATCATTTTGATGGTTACATCTCAATTTCTATCGGAAAAATGAGTATATTCCATAGAAAAGTATAATGAAGAAAAGGAAAATTTATTTGCAAAAACTATACAATTAATTATATTATATAGGATGTGTAGAATTTGGAAGATTTAAAACAAAACGAAAAAAAATCCGTACATCCAAATTCATCAAATTCATTTCTTTTTTTTTTTTTGAGTGATACTACTAATTTTATTTTATAAACGTGTTTAGGTTTATTCTTTAGAAAAAACAGTATATTGAGCGTATTGTTCGTAGGGACCAACGAATAATAATTATTTCTACAGTTTATTAAAGTTAGTGTAAGTTATCTAATGAAAATGACTGCGAAATACACGAGGAGAGCCACCCTTCATAAATTATATGAGAGGGTGGCAGAAAATTCCATGCCCCTCCATCCTCCCCAGCGCTTTTGCCTTGATTATTATAAAGTTGGCTGAATGACATTCCAATTGCAACATTTTTGTGTTAAGAAATTTCCATAACATTTCTCATGAAAAATTCTTCTATAAGTGTGGCAGAATTATCAGTTAACAGAATTTCTGGCACACTTATGAACGAGCTATGAATTATGAATGAATGAGATACATTATTAAAAGTACTTGTCTGAAAAATTTTGTAGTTGGAGTTCTTATATTGTCAATAAAACATATTCATAGATCATAGATATTAATAATAATAACGATTACGTATTGACACTAAATTAGGATGATGAAATATGATTTTAAAGAATAAGAGTAATTTATATCATCCGATAAATGTGGGACGACTATAAATGAAGCTGCTACAGGTTATACTGGCTTTTTTATGGGGTTAATGTACCAGGGGCCAGGAAAAAATTAAACTATATACTTATTATATTATTTTAAATAATTAAATGATCTGATATAAAAACTTACTAAAAAGGTCCCACGGGAAGTTGGGGTCCTTAATAAGACTTTTCAATGCGACGTAAAATTCATCCGCACGACATATGTAGATATCTTTACAGACATGAAAAAAAAAAAAATATATATATATATATATATATACATATATATAATTATAAATAAATCAAACTGAAAAGATTAAAGAAGATTATTTATAATTCAAAATGGTAAACTGTTATTATACCCTGCCATAACTGTAACCGTCAGTTACTTATATATTAATTTTATAATATTTGATAAAATTTACTTTTACAGTTATATTCATCTTGCCTATGAATAATATGAAAAATATACTGTAAGATCCAGGCAATAATAAAAATAGTGCTAATAAAAAAAATAACAACATGTTTCTCGTAATCTACGTAAAATTAAAATATTTGTGTTTTTAAAGCCATTTGCCTATTGAGTGTTTATAAAGACATACATTTTCGACAAATATCTGCTAAAAATCTTTTTAGAAAGTAATTAGTGATTATTCTTTTACTTATCCTGAATCGGAAACAACTTTTGGTTATTTTTTATGGTGATTTTTTTCTCAATTTAAGTAACAACGGATCTCATTAACCTATCAAGAGTTTTTAATTCATTGTTTATTATTATTATAATTTTGAAATAACTATAAAGTTTGTGTTTTATCGGATTAGGTTATTTCGTTCTTCAAGGATAAAAATCTTTTTGAAAAAAAAATATATGTGAATTTTGATATTGAATGATTTGCTAAAAGTGAGCTATTCAAACGAAAAAAAAAAATAAAAATAACGTTCGTGAACGGAACATCATTTCCAAAATGGAGAGTCGGTAGTGGAAGAAGCATGTGATCGCCACACACAGAAAACACACTCTGAATGTTAAACTAGACACTTTAGCTGATTCCGAATACATACAGAAAAAGAAGCCATCGGAAGAGAACTATGGTGATGATGTGTATACATAATGAAGGATTTCATCCATCGCATGTGATTTTCCATACATGAACAGCATTATTCCTTCTTTTTTAAACAAAATTTCTTAAAAGCTAGTGTATACATGATGCAGTACTTATGTAAATAAAAAAAAATGTGTACAATCTTAAAAGTATTATTTATATCTAAAGTGACCAGTATTTTAAGGTCATTTAGTAGAATGCATACCTGAGTTTTCATATTCATCTTCGTATGCAGTAACTAATTCTAAATAATCTGCTATTGTTTCGGTATAAGATTTTATGGTTGCATCATCAAACAGATTACCCATAGTGGAATTCTCTGAGAAGAAGTAAAGATTAAATATATTTCATATGTGATAAGTATACTTATTTATTTATATGATAAGTTAGTTATTCCCTTAAGAATATAAATGATGTGAGTGAATGTATGTATATATATATATATATAAATGATTTGAGTATATATATATATATATATATATATATATATATATATATATATATATATATATATACATATATATACACATACTCAAATAATTGGTATAGTTATATAGGTAATGGTAATCCAGGTTTATTGTCGTTACAGACTTTACGAAAATAATATCCAAGTAATAAGAATAAGAGGAAAGTTGACCAACTACGAAAATACTTTTATATATATATATATATATATATATATATATATATATTATTCTTTTTACTTTGCTATTATTTTCCTGAAGTATATACATAACGGCAATAAACCTTGATTAGCCTTTAGTGTAACATCTATTTAAAATATGGTTAACACACATGATTTCACTGTGTACATAAACAAATGTACTAGAAGAGTTTCGTGTAGTATCTTTGTAACGTTTCTTTAAATGTCCACTTAAAATTATAATTGTAATTTTATAATTAAGAAGGGCTTACCCAGTGGAGGGGGAGTAAGTCCTTCCTCACTATTTCTTCTTTGTAGGTATTATTTTATAATAATTTATAACGTATACATAATCAGCTAATTTATTTATAATAGGAACAACATAAACCAAAATTTCTCACAATATAATCAAAACAACCTTTACAGTCCATATCACCACTCTCGATCCCTCTATAACCTACCTAAACAAAAAATCTAATCACAACACCTGTTATTTTCAAATTCTGTCATTTAACCATTTTGTCAACTGTAACATCTTTTAAATGAAAACCGTGAAAGTCAAATTTTTAGAAATATTGCTCGTTTTAGATATGAGAGGCTTTTCAATATTTTTTTCTGAATATGTGGGGAAAGTAAAACTACTACGGAAATGTTCAGACATTCAATATCTAACTATTTTTTTAACCTCAGACGACGTTAATATAATATATTGTGCATTTTAATTTGTCGAGAGGCGATAGAAAAATTTTGAGAATCATTTTTGTATCTTACAATTTAACGTTATAATAGTAAAAACCAGATTTTATGCATCTTTTGCTTCACATTTAGACATACAGAATGGTTATATGTATACAACATTTATAAAGATTTTAAAAATCTAAACTACATTCCAAACATATAATAAAATAAAGGGGAGGTGGTTGACCCTTTCTTTTAGTATGCGTTTGGATATCATGGAGTGATGCGATATTTTTTTTTTCAGTCCAGGTGGTGACTGAACTGGCGAAACGTCGACGCGTTATTTTATTTTTTATCTGAAGTAAAGAGACACAAGGCTGTGTGATTTGATTTTTTGAATTATAACCTCACATCCAATTTCTGTCTCTTGGTGTATTTGTTCTCGTCTATTTACATAAATGCGCTGTTAAACATAAGAAAGACATGCCGTAAAGTGTGGTAACTCTGGCACTGATTGGGTAACTTCGAGACAAGGGGTAAAATTTAGTTTGCGGTGATTCCGTGGTAGATAGGCTGTGTTAGTTTAGTGAGCATTGACAGCGCATGTACTGGGCTACTATATAACGGCACAATACTATCGAGGCACAAGCGAAGGTACATATAAACAAGAGTTTTGACAAAACAATGGTCATAAATAAAACCTAAATGCACAATGAGTGTAATAAACTAGTGTTCTCTAACTGCCGCAAGGTAGTGGCACAGTACATTCCTACACAAAGCAAGTTTTCACAGACTTAACCAACACAGTGTATCCAACACGGAATCACAATAAACAAAATTTACCCGCTGTCCCAAAGTTACACACCCAGTCCCAAAGGAGTAACTTAGTAATCTAACGGTAACTATTTATTGAACCCTTTTTGGTATTGTTATTCCGTACAGAAGCGGAACTTGGATCCTTACATTGAGGAAAGAATAACGCTTTAGGTTTTATGATAATTAAATAATCCATGGAGTACTGCTACTGGTGGGGGTAACTAGTCCGGCAAGTGGGCCTATCGTGGTCCTTTTTGCCAACCCCGGACGGCTATCTTGAAGCTGGGGCTGGTTACTTACCAGAGTGGGAATGTCACGATCCATTTCTCGGGGCCGCCGAGAAATGAAAAGTAACCAACCCAGATGGGAATCGAACCCACAACGTTCAGAACCTGGCACTCTGGGACCCCCGCCTCACCGTGCTCGGCCATCCCGTCCTCAATCTATGGAGTGTATGACCAGAGAAAAATTCGGAGTTTAATTAAGCTGAATCTAGAATGTATGAGTTAAGTGATGATAAAGCATTTGGAATGGAGACGGAATCTCCAAAAAAGTAATCAGTGCATGTCTGAAGGACAGACGTTGTGTATCATCTGACTTTGAATATTTAGGGTATGGGTGTATGTATCTCAATATTGGCAATTACCATATTTAGTTTGTTAAGTATGTAAAATAAATCTTGTTTCCATGGGTTACATCCTTGGAGATAATGGTCTATAACCATTAGAAAACAAATCCGTACATCCGTACATATATTATTACAGTAAGGCTCGAAATCGAAATATTTGTACCAAATATAAGCTCCTGTCATTGCCAAATACCATGAATGGGGTACCGTTGGATTCAGAATTTCACGGGGGGTTAGCGAATCGTATTCTCCACTTTTGTTTTTCTTTATAAAATAAATAAATTCGGTACAAAAATCTTGCTAGGCTTTAATACCTGAACAGTGGCAGGTCTGTAGATCGATACGGGACAAATTGGATCTAGAAGATTTAGATGCGTACAGCAAGACTCTGCGTTTTTAACCCCAAAAACGTACTATTCTCGAGATAACGCAAGTCAAAGGGTTCGCATCCACACCACCTTACATTAATTGTAGTACATCGTTCTAGGTCTCTATGATCGAGAGAGGAGGAGTTTATACTATTTATCGATGGTGTTTTTAATCGATAAGCCATATCATCATCAATTTTTAACCAAATCTCAAGATTGTGCCACCAATTTCGAAGGCTTCCTTCTCCTTCAGGCGGACAAAATAGTAAAATCACCCCGAAAATTCTGGCAAACAAGATATAAAAGAAAATAAACTTTATTTGCGAATAACTAAAAAATTACACACTTTTTCCTAGGTTATGCCCATGATTATATAACAGATTACTGAATTTTCTATACAATGAAAAAAAAATCATCGAAATCTATTAGAAATTTTTCCAATATATTTTTTTTCATTTTATTATTTATTTTTTCTTATTTTCGATTAATATTCATTAGGAAAGTTCTATTATAGCCCATTTCATTTGAAAATAAATATATATTTGGCATATAGCTATAGTATCAGGAGGACGTTGAAAGAATTTGTAAAGGAGGAAAGTGGGTCCAAAAATATTTTTTAAGGGAAAACAGAGTTGAGATTTCTATTCCGTACCTCTATAAAGCCTTAAATACGAATTTTCATAAAAAAAAAAAAAAAAAAAAAAAAATTTGCACCAAATCGGAACCCAGCCTCCCACCTTCGATCTCCTTTCGAAAATCACAAAAAGTGGAATAACATAAAAATGACTCCACGTATCCTCACGAAAATTTACATTAAGTTAGGACCACATACATAAGCTACACGAAATGACACAAATCAGACTAAAATGAAGATTTAAATTAATTTTTGTTTTCTTTGTCGATTATATTTATCGATAAAGTAACATTTGATTTCTTTATCTTTTGATACGTTGCATTATTTTATTTTCTTCTTAATCTGGCATTTGATAACTATATGCTGTGCGAATTTTTCGCATGGGCCTACTAGTAGTACTTATAAATAACACAGGCATATATAATTTATGATTAAGCTATTATACATATGCATATTTATATTGCTAAAGGATTTTTGTATTACATTACCTAAAGACATATTATTCTTACCGGTTGAGGTTTTTGAACCATTTTTTCGTATTTTCTTCTTCTTGATTTTTCGTAACAAGTATCTTATGTACTCTCTTACGAAATCATTGAAGATTGCTGTACTGTCTTCTCGACTATATGCCAATGTTGACTTTTCTATAAAAAGTTGGAAAAAAAACTCAAGAAAAATGAAGTAGTAAGTGTAATAATTTTAATGAAAATAACACTCGATAATTTATCAATAAAGGTGTGGGTTCCAGTTTTCACACTTTCATAAATAGTTGGAAACTTTTATAGAATGCAAAAATGAAATCCATGTTAAGAATGATCAAATATCCAGTTAAATAACAAACCAAAATAATGAAATATTTAACTTATTTTTTATATTTAACTTTCACTTACCTGTATCTGCTTCTGAAGTTAGCGTGTAAATACCGTCGTGATCCATTCGGGAATTTCGTTCTTTTGAAAATATCTTACTCGCTTTGTTCATAGCAAACAGATTTCTTAAATATTCTGTCACTGAGTCGCAGAATGAAGCAGTTGGCTCTGCTTTGTCGTAGCCAAAAGTTGTTGATTCTGGAACAAATACATTATAATCCATACACAAATATGGTTACCATAGCCTTAGTTTATACATAGGGGAATGGGGTGGCTCAGTGGTAGGCCACTGAGTTTCCAATGCTCAAGGTCCGTGGTTCGAACAACGGCTTACGGCTGATAAATTATTTATTCTGTTTCATCAGCCATGGATCGACCATGGGGTAGGATGATCTTGGACATATCACCTCCTTGTACGACTGTTTACCAAGATTAAAATTATTAAAATGTATTAAATTGTGAATGAGAGAAAAAACAAGAAGAAATACTGTGTCAAATTTTAAGTGCGATACTTAAACAACAATTTACTTCAACAATAATTGAGATAAATTTAGAAGACAATTTTATGTGGAAATATTTTTTAAATTTAATGTCCTATTAGGGCCTTTCCTTAAATTAAAAAATAAATAAAATAATATTTCTTAGTTTTGATACCAATTTTATAATGATTAAAATTTAAACATAGACTTGCACTTACTTGTATCATCATTTGACGGACGATCATTATAATTTAGAATGAATCCAAAATTTTTTGGAAATTCTTCATCTGTAGTCTGATTAGATAACACAGTCGTATCTTCTAAATATTCCAATGGTACTGGTTCTTTGAAAAAAAAAAAATCCATTAAACCCAATTTCAATAGTTTATCGCTTTATTTGAAACTGTCTAGGTAAGTTCACAATGTAAGTAAATAGTACTTCAAAGCATTAATACAAAATGTTTCTATCAGAAAGATAATAAAGACTATGGAATGAAATATTTTTGCTATGAAAATATGGTCCAATTACTATATTGGTGCTTTTAAAGCGGGTTTACACGTTTCCCCCAAACGTGCCAAATTTTTTGTTTAAAAAACGAGATAATTGATTGCTTTGAGTATTTTTGTATTACTTCTATTAACAAAAAAATAAATATTGAAAAACAATAATAAATAATAGAAAAAAAACAACAACAGAAACGCGAGTATTTGTTCTCAAGCAATATATAAGCTTTCCGTAAGCTTCCTTTAATTTGTCCCTAAAAATCAACAGGAAGCTGAAACGGCCACAAATATTGAAGAACTAGTACCGCTTACCCAAATTCCTGATATACACACTTGTGGTTTGGATAATGTCCGAACGTTATAGCTGTCTTTGGCAGTGTTTGGTTGTCTATTTGTTTTTCTATTATTTTTTTATAAAATGATAATTAAGAGATGGTTTGCAAGTCATAATGTAACGTAGAGCTTAAGTTTAATATTTTAAAAGTCTGACCCACTTTTTCGGTCTCTTTTAAAACATTTATTTAACTAGAAAATAACCTATAAATATGAATCTGAATCATGGTTATTAATTTGTTTTCGATTAGTAAAGTATTTTTTATTTCAAGTAATAATAATACAATTATATATATATATATATATATATATATAAGATAAAGACCGGAGACTGGCGGTATCAGCCTTAATACTATCTGGTAATGTAAATAAACAGGCTAAGTGTATATAAGGAGGCTTATGGAACGAATAAAGCAGTGTTATTTCAGAAGTCGTGTATGTTACATCTTTTCCCTTTTCCTTCTTTTTTTTTATTTCTTACGTCCGACGACGCTTAACTGGTGCCGAAACCCGGGACAACGTCAGGGAAGTAATTTTTTTTTTAGTAGATATTTTTTTTTTGGTGTTTAAGGAAAAGGTGAAATGCCGACAGAAGGATTGATCAGACCGGGAGTACTAAGCGTACCGGAAATTCCTCAACCTCAGGATATTCCACAGATCAATCAGGTACCCCAGATCGCGCCTCAGGTACCTCAGATACCTCAAGTCCCTCAGGTAGCACAGATCCCTCAGATCCAGGAGATCCCTCCATTACCAAGGGACACGTTGGCAGAAGCACACGCCAATGCCTTGGAATGGATGAAGATAAGAGCAACAACCACGCAGGACTTACGGAGGGCCATTGCGGACCTAGAACGATTCGGAGGCGAGGTAGGCGAGCTCAACCATTTCTTGAAAGGCGGAGATCGTCTTATGTCAAGAATCGAGGTGAAGGTGGCGGAGGACCTGGTGAACCTAGGGGACGCGGAAGAACTGAAAGCAGCTCTTGTGTGCCGAGTAAGGAGGAACGTCCTGAACCAGATCCAAGCGGACGAGGAGACTCCGTGGCCGGTGATTAAGGAGCGGCTGAAGAAGGCTTTTGGAGGAGGTAGGTGGACACCGGAAGAGGACATATTCCAAATGTTTAGGGAGCGGCGGGCCCAACGACAGTCAAGGGGGCAATATGCGGGAGTACTCGTGGCGAAGTACAATCGCATAACCGAGAAGATGCGGGAAACAATGAGCGTGGGAGAGGTCGAAGCCAGGATGGAGTTTCTGTCGACAATATTGAAAGTCCAGCTGGCTAAAGAAACGGGGAAGAGGGACGGACTGCCCAGAGAGCGATCGTTCCTCGAATGCGCCCAGGAGATGATCGACCTAAGTGCCAGAGAGGAGGAGACACGGATGGATGTGGAAGAACCAGGTTGGACCCGAGTGACGGATAGACGACCATGGACAGCCCCGACAGGTTGGAAGAAGAGGGACACAAGGCAGCCGAGCGGAGAAAAAGCCCCGACGAGGGAAAGAAGATCGGGACAGTCGTCGAGGCCGAGGAATGGGCCCCGGAGGGAAGAGAGAAAATGTCACGGGTGTGGGAAGCCGGGACATTTAGTAGCGCAATGTCCACGCACCAGATGCTTCGAGTGCGGGACGGAAGGGCACATAGCAAGGCAGTGCCCATACATATTTCACAGGAGGGAGAGACCTCAGGACGAACCCATGGAGGTGAATGTGCAGAGGATGAAAAGACGAGCCAGGGTACATCAGCGGGACGGATCTTCGGAGGAGGCAACCGAGGCGTTAATGAGACGCTGCAGGCATTGCGTCGGAAGTATTTCTGGTGGGGCATGAAGAGGTCCATCCAGGAAGTCATTGGGAAATGCGAGATATGCATGCGCACAAAATACGATCGACACCCCCCCAGAGGAGTTCAGGAGGAGACACCTACAGGGAATATGCCGCTACAGGACCTTCAGATTGACACGTTTACCTGGAAAGGGTTTAAGTGGGTCACGGTAATCGACATATTCAGCAAGGTGGCGATGGCACACCAAGTGATGGAGAAGTCAGCCAATGCAGTTGCGGAAGCCTTACAAACCTGGGTGCAGTTCTATGGGGTCCCCGAGAGGATTACTTCGGACGGTGGTAGGGAGTTCGACAATGCCGCGATTAGGGAGGAGGTGAAGCGATTGGAAATTGCGTGGCATTATAACACCCCAGGACATCCTAAAGGTAGAGGCGGTATTGAACGGCTGCACAGTACGTTGAGCGACCACGTCCGTGTATATCAGGGTGAAAAAGGGTTGGAGCCGGATGTGGCAATGAGGAAAGCGGTAACAGCCTATAACCACTCGATCCACTCCGTAACGGGGTTTTCACCCATGGAAGTTCTATTCGGGATGCGCAGGCCAAGGCGGGATTATGGGGAAACTACGCTTACCGAACCGTTAGTGGATCAAATTCTCAGCAATAGGGTAGAGGTAGAGAAAACATGGGGAAAGATAACGGCGAGAATCAAGCGGGAAAAGCAGAAGCGGGTGGAAAGGCAGAATGTACAGGTTCGCGACCAAATGGGGGAACTAAAAATAGGAACAATAGTTTACCGGAAATTGGGAACCAACAGAGGGAAACAATTGCTACGGTACGAGGGTCCATTCAGAGTGGTTGTTATTAGGGAGCATAACCTGGTAACTATTGAGAGCGTGAATGAGCCCAGAAAGAGGAGAACCGTTCATATCGAACAATTAAAGCTCCCAATGGTAGAGTCGGGACATAGACCTACGGATTCGTAGTACCCTCACCGCTGTATATAAAACAGAGAAATATGTTTTTTTTGTGGCTGTCAAAACAAAACAAGTTGTAAAAGATTTTTTTTTTGTTGTATTATTTCATGTATAGAGGAAATTGTGTTTTTTTTTGTTGTTGGTAGGAGTTCTCAAGTGGTAGGAGTTCTAAAGTGCTGTGTTTAGTTTCAGTGTTTTTAATTATTTCTTCTTTATTTACTATTTTTCCAGTTGAGTGGAACTATTTTATTTTCTTTTAAGGATATACTGTAAAACCAATTGTAAAGTGTTAAGGCTGGTCACCGTGGGCTCCGATCTAGCAATATTTAAGTTTCCGAAAATCCTGTTCGTAAACTGGTGGGGGGAGATAAAGACCGGAGACTGGCGGTATCAGCCTTAATACTATCTGGTAATGTAAATAAACAGGCTAAGTGTATATAAGGAGGCTTATGGAACGAATAAAGCAGTGTTATTTCAGAAGTCGTGTATGTTACATCTTTTCCCTTTTCCTTCTTTTTTTTTATTTCTTACGTCCGACGACGCTTAACTTATATATATATATATATATATATATATATATATATATATATATATATATATATATATATATATATATATATATATATATATGTATATATATATATATATGTATATATATATATATATAAGTTAAGCGTCGGCGGACTAGAACAATAAAAAAAAAGAAAGGAAAGGGGTTGAGATGCAACACTCACGGTTTCTGAATATACACTGCTTTATTCATTTAGTAATCCTCCTTATATACATTTCATATGTTTATTTACATTCAGGACGGCATTAAGGCTGATTTCGCCGGTCTCCGGTCTTTATCTCCCCCCCACCAGTTTACGAATAGGATTTTCGGAAACTTAGATATTCCTAGATGGGAGCTAACGGTTATCAGCCTTAACACCTTACAATTGTTCTCACAAGTATAAACTTGAAAGAAAGTAAAATTCACTCGAGACATACAATAATAAATAAAAAAACACAGAAACTAAACACAACACTTCCAAAAACAGAACTCTTAATAACCCTAAAAAAAGAGAAAAAAAAAATAATACACTTCCTCTACTGTATTGCTATGATTCTATTTACACATAAAAAAAAAACTTACACCATATTCC